CAAACACACACACACACACACACTCACACACACACACTTAAAAAGTAAGTCATAAAAAATGAAAAGGACTCCAAACATTCTGTACCACCTTAAGACTGCTTCATGTTGATAAGTTTTAAATCACTCTTAGGTCTCTTCCTGAAGACATTTGAGAACACTGTGGACACTTGAAAGTGTCCACTAAACGTGCTTTAGGAATCTAGAACAATCTAGGAATCTAGGACAACCCCTGTCACCTTGAAGACACTTAGTAAAGGGGGGAGGAGGAAGAGGAGGGAAAAAGAATGAGGGAGAGCGGGAAGGAAAGAACAGACAAAGGAAAGGAAAAATGGGGAGGGAGAAAAGAGAAAAGGAGAGAAAGAGGAGGGGGAGGGGAAGAGGAAACAAGAAGAAAGGATGGAGGAGAAGGGAGGAAACGGAGGAAGGGAGCGGAAGGGGATGGAGAAGGAAGTAGAGGGAGAGGGATGGCGAGGACGGAAGGAGGGAAGAGGGAGGAGGGGGAGAAAATGAGAAGGACGGGAAGAGAGGGATGTCAGCCCTCTCCAGCCCTGTCACTTTAGAACGACCTTGCTGAGGTTTCTTCCTGCCCACAGCGTACAGCTGGAACTACAGCACTAGGTTTGGGGGACCCAAAGGGCACAAGCCCTGTAGAACTCTGATGTGTGTCCTGATTCTGCAGTGTCCCCCCACCCCCACCCCCGGGCACTGTTCAGGCAGGCTGCCATTGTGCGGTGATTCAAAGCGTTGGACAGGCTCGGCAGGCAGTCACCCTAATGAGTGAGTTTGCGTGAGCTGTTACGGTCTGCGTGGATGGCAAAGTGTGCAACAGCGTCATCAGGCCCCCAGATGAAGTGTCAGTTATGGGGATGCTGGCAATAAAAGCCTGCCTCCAGGCAAGGACAGATGCTTTGAAAGCACGCTGCAGGAAAGCTCACTTGGAGGACGCGGGATCTGAAGCGGGACCATACAGCTGTTCCTTTTCCTTTTTTAAGGTTTATTTTATTGTTTGTGTGTGTGTGTGCGTGCGCGTGCGTGCGTGCGTGTGTGTGTGTGTGTGTCTGTGTCTGTGTGTGTCTGTGTGTGTCTGTGTCTGTGTGTGTGTGTGTGTGTCCATGAAAGTCAGAAGAGGGCATCAGATCCTCTGGAGCTGGAGTTACAGACAATTGTGAGCTGCCAATGTGGGTGCTGGGAACTGAACTTGGGTCCTGCACAAGAGCAGCAATCTCTCCTCACCATTGAGTCAACTCCCCTCTCCCCTCTCCCCTCTCCCCTCTCCCTCTCCCTCTCCCTCTCTCTCTCCCTCTCCCCCTCCCTCTCTCTCTCCCTCTCTCCCTCTCCCCCTCCCTCTCTCTCTCCCTCTCCCCCTCCCTCTCCCTCTCCTTCTCTCTCTTTCTTTCTTCCTCTCTCCCTCCCCCTCTCTCCATCTCCCTCATAGCTATTTTCTGAACTGTCTGTGGGTGCCTTGAAGCAGGGTCTCTCACAGGCAGAGCAGATGGAACTCTAACAGCAAGAGTGGAGCACAAGTCCCATGTTAAAGACCTAAAGGGACAGCAGATCTCCCTGGTGATTCATGACCCTAGAACAGAGATGCTGTGTGGGAGGCCCCTGCCCAGATGGGTCTGCTACCTGCAAGTCTCTAGGGCAGACAAACAGGGAAACAGCAAGACGCTGTTACAGCCCAAGTCCGTAGGGTGGTCTCTCAGATACAGGGTTCTCTAAACATCAGTGTGCAATTCTCTAGGGAGCTTAAAAGCATCTTAAAGTTACAAGTTAGAGGCTCTGATTCTGGCGTGGGATTTGGGAATACGCATTTTTTAACACTTCCCTGCAATTTTTATATGCACCCCTGCTGTTGGTATGTATGTACCATGTACTGTTGGAGGAGTCAATAAGATCGTCTTGTTGGTTTGTTTCATTTATTGCCGCTCTGCTACTCGTGTAAACTTGAGACCTGTATTCCCCAACCTCCACGGATGGCACTCCAAACACTGACCTCACCCGCTACTTAACAAAGACGATGCACTAATAGCTGGAGAGTACCGGGGCGCTTTTCCCCTGACTGCCACAGCGCCAGGAGAAGTTGCCCGAGTTGTGATCTACACTGTCGCCCGGAATGCCCACATGGGAAGGGCTTGGTCTCCAGCCATGGTGCACGCGGAGGCATTGAGACCTTCAGAAAGTGGGCTTCAGCGGGAGGAAACAGGGCAGCTGGAGTCGAGCTGCTGCCAGGGACAGTGGGACTCCAGCCGCTTCCTCTGTGACACCTCCTCCACCACACGCTGCCACCCTGATGTCCAGTGTGATCAGTGTGTGAAAGCCCAAACGGCACAGCCAGGAGACAACGGACAGAAACGTGAACCTGCAGAAATAACCGCAGAAGTGCACCTTCCCTGCTCTGACACGGCCGTATGGGGGCTTTGTCACAGCAACAAAGCTAGTAACACAGAAGTGGGAATTCTGTTGTGTTGTTTGTTTGTTTGTTTGTTTTTTCGAGACAGGGTTTCTCTGTAGCTAGTCCTAGAACTAGCTCTGTAGACAAGGCTAGAACTCACAGAGATCCACCTGCCTCTGCCTCTGCCTCTTCCTCCCTTATTTAGTTTGATAAGGCAGAACTCATTCCTGTCTCTCCTCCCTGACAGGCCCTTCTGCTTTGTGTAAATCTGAAATTGACAGGTGCCCCTGCCCCTGCCCCTGCCCCTGCCCCTGCCCCTGCCCCTGCCCCTGCCTCTGCCAGGATTAAAGTTGAGTGCCACCACTGCCCACCTTGAAGTGCGAATTCTTAAGAAAAGAATTCATAGACAGAGGGAGGGAGCAAAGAGAGAGGGGGGAATTAAAGGAGGACGGGAAGGAAGAGAGGAAGTAGAGGACAGTGGGAAGGAGGAAGTGAAGAAATGATGACAAGAAGGAAGGCATTGGATAAAAGTTGATGTAAAAGGGCTTTTGTTTCTGTAATCTATGCCGTGGACCTCTGGAGATCACAGGTCATGAGCCGCCGGTGTGATGGCGTCTGTGCAGACCACTCTCTCTTGATAAACTGAACGCCCAGTCACAACCACATCCTTCCCCAGTTTCCCCAGGCAGGACTCTGTCACTCCCCTCCTTCCCCCACAGGCACCCACCCTCTCTGTGACTCCTCCCTCCCCTCCCCAGTAGTGTTATTCCCTGGTAAACCATGGACTCAGACAACCGGATTCCCGTGCCTTCCAAGTGCTCTTTCCGTCCCTTCCAGGAGCTGTGCTCTCCCGGAGTTAGTGACTGACATGGGAGCATCAGTGGCCAAGGAGAGGAAGGGGTACAGGAAACATCTCAGTCAGAAAGGAAACACAACCATCATGAGGAAACAACATCTGTTCTTTCTGAATTCTCAGGCATTCCGCATTATTCTATTATAGCGACCTACAGCGGTCAGTGACTAACCTCAGGCGAGTACAGAAGACAGACGAGGTGTGAAAAGATTCTTCCTGCTGCTTTGGGCAGGGGGGCAGACGGTGTTTGCATTCTTCTGGAAAGTATTTCCTACCCCCCCGATCCATCTACATGATTCCGGCAAAGGGGGCTATTTTCCATGGCCCATCCTTCCCCAGGAGCTGCAGATGTTAGATGTGGTATCCAGTGGCCAAATGGTTAGTGTTGTGGTTTGGATCTCAAAGTTCCCCACGGGCTGATGATTTGAGGACTTCATCCCAAGCTGTGGCGTGGGCTTGAAAGGCCGAGGGACCTTTAGGAGACAGGCTGCAGAAGCAGGCCTTTGGATGAAGTAGGCCATTGGATGCAGTCTGTCGAAGGCTACAGTCCAAAGTGGCTCCTCTCCTACTCTGTCTCTTCCATGTGCTCCCACAGCCCTGCCTTCTCCGCCCTGATGGAATGAACTCTCTGATTCTGGGAGCCAAGGCAAACCCTTCTCCCTTAAGCTGTTTCTGTCAGGTGTCCTGGACACAGTGATGTGAAGTGACTGATTCAGTTGTGGTCCTGGAGAAGGCTCCGTTGGCTGAGTGCAGGCGGGTATTGCATGAGGAGCAGGAAGGAGAAAGAATGCTTGGTGACCCTAAGTCCACAGCGTGGGTTACGCCTGAGTCCTGTCTGTATTCTTGTCCTTGGGATTTAGATAGCCCAACTTCCTGGAGAGCGGATCATAACTGCCATCACAGTTCTGCCCAGCACAGTCTACAGGAACCCCCAGAGAAAGAGAAAGATGTCCAAGAGCTCAGTGGAGGAAGCAAACATGTCTCAAGCTTGATGAGCCTGGACCTTTGACCATAGTGTGATCATGGGAACTAGCACATCTAAATGGTCTTGGAAGACGCCAGGCTGTAGGAAGTTCCCCCAGCACTGGAAATCCTCCTCGGGGTAATATTTTCTCGTAACACATTGCTGGTGACAGCCATGATGGGGAGAGCTGCCACAGCCCTAACCCAACAGCTCTTTGGATAGGAATTGACCATGAAACACATCAGAAGGACGAGGACATTCACTGTGACCCAGGGTGATCTATAATTTTACCCAATGGAGAGAATTTACCCAGGGTTTAAAAGCAATAAATTAGACAATTTAGCCAGCAATTCCCCCCAACAAGTCTCCTTCTCACGGCTGTAACCCAGCCCAGGAAGCACTGGGGGCTCCTCCCTGTGGCCCAGGACTTGAGTTGCAGCATCTGGCATCCAGAGAAAGCAGATCACTGGGAGTTAAGCCCTGGAGAGGAGCCACTGACAACAGAAGCCAAGAATGTGTCCAAGTCCGGAGACACATCACAGATCATTAGCCAAGAGCCTGTATTTCCTAACCACCTATGCAAATATTTGTGCCTCCTTCTTTCCCCCGTGATCTAGAATGATGATAAACTTGTAGGAGATGTATGAAGTGATTATCTAGATGAAACTTTTCCTTGTACCAATCTTTCCTTGAGCTAATATCCTCAAAAACTCATTGCTAGAAAAGTATAGAGTCCCTGAGAAATAATGATGTCCCCCCTCAGAATCTTTTAGATTAAGAAAAAAACTTACGTGTAGTCTCTTCATTCCACATCGTATAGACTCATCACCAATTAGTGAATCCAGTGCTTCCAAAGAAAATACCCGTGCCTAGCAAAAGAAGACAAGAGAAGCATACAAGTTAGTTTGTTGGCCTCCTTAGCCAACTGGCAGTTTAAGGTGCTGCTCCCTGAGAGCAGGGAAACAACCGGAATCAGTCAGGGAGGCTACTGGTTACACAGCAACAGCAAAACATCCCCAAACGTTGGTGGTCGTGGTAGTCTGAATAGGAATGGCCCCCTGGGGCTCAACACTTGAATGCTTGGTCATTAGGGAACAGCACTACTTGAGAGAGATTAGGAGGTCTGGCCTTGTTGAAGTGGGTGTCCTTGTGGGGGAAGTGTGTCACTGGGGGTGGTGGGCTTTGAGGTTTCAAAAGCCCAAGGCAAACCCAGGGGGTCTCTCTTCCTGCTGCCTGCAGACCCAGATGTACAAACCTGACCTCCTCCAGCACCAGGTCTGCCTGCATGCCACCATACTTCCCAACGTGCAGATAGCGAACTAAACCTCTGAACTGTAAGCCACCCCAGTTAAATGTTTTCCTTTATAAGAGTTGTCATGGTCATAGTGTCTCTTCACAGCAACAGAACATTGACTAAGACAGTGGCTTAAACATCTAACACAGACTGGAAAGGTACTCCACTTACCACTGTCACTTAGTATAGGCTAAGTCGCCTTGCTGATAATCTCCAATAACCTATTCTAAGTGCCAGAGGGGAGGGCAAATGTAGGGACTATCACATAAGCTCTTACTCATTCCGCCCAGAAAATGCACATACTATTTATGCTTCATCAGCCAAAGTCTATCACAAGGGCACACCCCACTCCAAGTGAAGAGTGATGTAAAATCCTACCACACACTTGGAACTGATGTGAACTATAAATGCCTGGCAAAGAGCATACACTGCTCTTGCAGAGGACCAGAGTTCAGATCCCAGCACCCTCTTCAAACAACTACTATTGCCTGTAACTCCAGCTCTAGGAGACTCAACACCTTCTTCTGGACTCTGCAAGCACCTGCACTCATGTGTATACACCCACACACAGGCACACACAGACTTTAAAAATAAAAATAAAACTTTTAGCCAGGTGGTGGTGACACATGCCTTTAATCCCAGTACTCGGGAGGCAGATGCAGGTGGATCTCTAAGTTTAAGGCCAGCCTGGTCTACAGAGCGAGTTCCAGGACAGCCACAACTACACAAACAAACACTGTCTCAAAAAAAATAAGTAGGTAAAACTGTTTTTAATTACTTTTAAAAAAAATAGGCACTTGGAACATTAACTATTAGCCATCGTTGGAGATAATCATGAGATACTGTCAATGAAAGGAAGTCTAGAAAAGGCTCCAGACAGCTGGGAAGGGTTCACAGAAAGGCCAGGCCATATCTGGCCTTCAAGAAGGGAAGGACTGGAAGGGCTATGAGAGTGACAACGGGGAGGTGGCCTGGGAAAGCTAGGCGGTGGCTCTGGACATGCGTTTTCAGAAGACAATGGGGAAACTGCTCAGGGTGGTCAAGCTCCCGGGACCCTCAGCCTTGGAGATCTTTGGAGAGTCTTTGGCAGCCCTCCATTTCACCACAGTGTAAAGCCAGGCTTTAATCGGATTCATAGGAAACTGGGAAGAAATATTGAGCTTAGCAGCCTAATAGAAGTAAAGAGTGTGACACTTACCACACGAGAAAAATCTAAGCACGGTTTAGTCTGGCAATTCTGCTCCACCGCAAAGACGTGGCAGTCAGGACATTTATTGTGAGAGGGTGACATTTGTCTTCGAGGACTCAGCTCTTCTAACAGGTCTTGGGAAGGAACACGGCTTCCAGCTTCTAGTCTGGCACCCCAGGTGAGCACCTGAACACACTCTCGGGAATGAATAGGACACCTGTTTCCAAGTCAAACCCAGCAGACTCCCATCAAACACAGTTAGTCCTAGTACAGGAGCACACGCACGCGCACGCACACGCGCACACACACACACACACACACACACACACACTTGAATAAGGAAGCGCAAGTTGCTGAAGAAGCTCTTGAAAAAAAATCAAGGCTTTAACTTGGGGAAAATCATAGATCACACAGGCAAAACGAGATAAGAACAGAGAATGCTCTTTGCCTCTTAAGCTAAGCACGCTGATGTTGAACCCTTCTACTCTGACAAGCTTGGGTCTCAGAGCCCATATTTGGCGGCTGACTACCGGCAACTTTTAGTAGAGTGGACACCCTCTTCCAGCCTCTGCCGGTACCCACGTGTTACAGATGCACACGGAGATATATAACTAAGAAGAAAATACCAGCAGCCTAGATTTCACCAACAGATGAATGGGTACAGAAAGTGTGGTGCATACGCACAATGGATATTTACAGCCATATAAAGGAAAACACACCATCTTCATGAAAATGGATGGAACTGGAGAAATAAGCCAAATTTAGGGGATGGAAAAGACATATAGTGCATGTTACCTTTCTATTACTGAGGCAAAACACCATGATCAAGGCAACTTATAAGAGAAAACATTTAATTGTGCTTACAATTTCAGATGGTTAGGGTCCATGATGGTGGAGCAACAAAACAGCTGAGAGCTCACATCTTGACCCCCAAGCAAAAGGCAGAGAGCGCACTGGGAATCACACAAGACCTTTGAAGCCCCAAAGCCTGTCCCCAGTAACACACCTCCAATGAGACCACACCTCCTAATCCTTCCCAACCAGTTCCACCAACTAAGGACCAAGTATTCATGTAGATTAGCCTATGGGGCATTCTCATTCAACCCATCTCACATGGCAAGGAAGCCATGAGGGCCAGAGCTTGGAACATCTGCATTTGGGAATCAGGGATGAGTGCTTATGCACACCTAACTTCTTTTTTTTTTTTTTTTTTTTTTTTTTGGTTTTTACGACACAGGGTTTCTCTGTATTGTTTTGGAGGCTATCGGTCCAGCCCAGCCTCGAACTCACAGAGAGCCACCTGCCTCTGCCTCCCGAGTGCTGGGATTAAAGGCGTGTGCCACCATCGCCTGGCCTAACTTCTCCTTTTTATTCAGCACACCAGCCCCGCAAATGGTGCCACCCACATATAAGGTGGGAGTTCCCACCCCAGTTTAAACTAATCCAGATAATCCTTCACATACATGTGCAAAACCTTGTCTCCTGCGAGATTCTAAACTAATTCTAAACAGCATGTGTTGAGATCCTTATGTCCAGTAAAGTAGTATTCAGGGTTGGCATCTTTGAGAGGTCATGAGTGGGTTGGGAGGGTAGAGTCCTCCTGAGCAGGACTAGTGCTTGTGGGAAAGGGGTTCCTGAGAGGCCCCTCACATTCCACCATGTAAGGATAGAATGAGAAGCTGCAGTCTGCCCTCCAGAAGAGGACTTGGCAGAACCAAGTATCCCTGCGCCTGATCTGACTTCCAGCTTTATGGCGCGTTATCGTAGCAACCTGAAATAAGATGGGTATCTAGGAAAGGAATCACATCGCTTTAATAGAGGTGCAGAAAACTATTTCCATTCTGAATTCATCAAATAAATTATCGTTCCATTATTGGCTTTCCCAAAGCAGTAAATCATATGAGAAGTTAATAAAGGAGCTAACATTGTTCTCATCTGGGACATTTATATCCTGAATTTTGAAAACCTGTCAAGTGACCAGCAGGAGGACTCAGTGGTTGAAAGCACCTGCTGTCTGGTGATGCAAGGCTGAGGACCAGAGTTCAATTCTGACGTACAGGTGGAAGAAAGGAAGTGAACCCAGAAAGTTGTCTTCTGACCTCCACACTCACGCCGTGGCAAATGTGTGCATACACACACACACACACACACACACGCGCGCGCGCGTGCACGCGCGCGCGCACGCGCGTGTGCAGGCACATGCATACACATATACATACAGTAACAATAACAAATTATTTTTCTGGCAATGGTTCTCCCCTAAAATGTCATTATAGCTCCCCACTTTTGACCCTTTCAGCTGAAGGTGTGGTGGCCTACTACATCTGTAGTCCCCACACTTGAGGCAGAAGCAGGTGGATCTTCAAAAAGTTGGGCCCAATCTGGTCTACATAGTGAGTTCCAGGCAATCCAGGGCCATATAAAGAGACTCTGTCTCAAGAACAAATAAGTGGGGGATGTTTAAGGTCACTCAGACAGGAGGAACAATGTGTGTGTGTGTGTGTGTGTGTGTGTGTGTGTGTGTGTGTGTGTGTGTGTGTTTTCCTGACAACACAGGACTCTGAAATGGACTCATGTTTCAGAAATTCCTGAAACACTCCTTTTTCTAAGTAACAAGAGTCACCAAGAGTCACTGTGTAAATGAACTTGGAAAACCTTTTACTAACAGGAAAGATAATGCAGCTTATATGATGCACGTCTGTCATTATTAGTTTTTGTTTTCATCAGATTACATTAACACTACATATTGCCATTTAACTGTCCAAGTCACCTTGCCTGATCACAAAACTGTATGGAGTGTTGACGCACTCTCTCTCTCTCTCTCTCTCTCTCTCTCTCTCTCTCTCTCTCTCTCTCTCTCTCTCTCTCTCTTTCCCTTACTAAGATAAACTCCCAGTCCACAGCCTTAAAGAACAGACTTCTTGCTCAGTACATTCATGCTTAAAATTAGATGTCTTTTCCTAGGAGGGTAGAGATCTCATTCTCAGTATTAACACTCTATACTTGGCGTGAACATAGAAGACTTCAGAGTCACAAAGGGTTTGACCCCAGGACAGTCTAAAATCTGCCCTAGACAGAAGCAGACACAAATTCACTCAGCATTCCCACACTACCCCTAGGCTCAACATCTTGGAAACTTCTAGTGTCCTCCTCTATGCCATTTATAGAGAAATTCCAAGAATGTTCAATAAAGCTGGCTTTGAAAGCAGCTCTCTTTATCTACACTGTCTACTTAGACATAACCAGTGAATAATTATAGTTCAGTGCTGGCCCTTTCAGCACATCACAGAGACATCATCTGTGAGTTTAGCTGAGCTTAGGGACCCAGGACAAAGGAAGAAAGCATTTATGGGCCCTCGTTAACAGTACTAAGAAGACTTCTTCCTCCACACTGCTCTTGCCTTCAAGAGTGGACTTTATATTGACTTTTTTATATATTACTGGGCTCGTGGAAGCCAGAGAAATCTCCAAAGACACAACATTTCTCTAAACAAGTCTTTGGAAACAGAATGGGGGATGAACTTCAAGCAGATGCATCATCTTGCAAATCCCCTCTGGAGCAGGCTCTCTGGCTTGGGCTCTCAGAATTCCCACAGACAGAAATCAAACAAATGCAGGCTCATGGTTGAGGATCACATTCACAGGAGAGAAGCTGCTGTGAGCATGCCTTTAAAGAAAGAAAAACAACATGCTTAGGCTCTGTGTTGGTTATGTCTCTCCCTAGCTGTGAGAAAACACCTAATAGAAGGAGCCTGAGAGAGAGGAAAGGCTTACCTCTGTTCACAGTTAGAGGGTGACAGTCTGCAGGATTAGCTGGCCATGACTGAAGGTTGGGATAGGCCATCTACAATAGAAGCATGAGATGGAAAGATGTTCATGTGACAGCAGTAAAAGCAGACTGGAACTAGGGATGGGATATCTTTAAGGATCCTCACTATATATACTCACCCCAATCCCACCAACTAGACCATGCTTCACTGGGCTCCAAGCCTCTCAGACTGCAAAGCACAAGCATATGGGTGGAGGGCAACATTTAAGATTTAAAATAGCAGCTGTCTCCTCGTGAGGCCCTCAGATACCAAAATCATCAGACCTACATGAACTCTTGAATAAAATAAATATGAAATCAAAAACCAATCAAAAACTGGTGCGGTGATTTGAATGAAAAATGCCCCCATGGGCTCATAAGGAGTGGCATTATTGGGAGGTGTGGCCTTGCTGGAGTAGGTGTGGCCTTGTTGTGTCAGTTGGGGTGGGCTTTGGGGTTTCAGAAGCCTAAGCCAAGCCCAGGGTCACTCTCTCCTCCTGCTGCCTTTGGATCCAGATGTAAAACTCCCAGCTCCTTCTCCAGCACTATGTCTGACTACATGCCACCATGTTTCTTGCCATGGTGACAACGGACTGAACCTTGCCATTGTAAACCAGCCCCCAATCAAATGTTTTCTTTTATAAGAGTTGCTGTGGTCTTGGTGTCTCTTCACAGCAATAAAAACCCTAACTAAGACAACTAGCAAAGGTTGAATTTTTTTCAGAAATAAAAGATATGTTGCTACAAATAAGAGATTATCGCAGCAATACTTACATAAGCAACCAAGAAAACCTGTTTAATCAAGGCAGACAGATTATCAGGTGCTTGTGCCAGGCAAGGGAAGGAGATCCTCGCGGGCATCTTGAACATTGGCCTGAAGTGGGAATTGCTTAGGCAGTCAAGTGGTGAGACTTTGTGGGTGCAGCTTCTGATACGCCTAGGTGAGACTGACAGCAAAACCCCTGTTCTGCTGGCTCTTACAGTCTTACTGACCTGTCTTCCACCATGTTCTCTGAGCCTTAGGTATGGAAATATTTTGTAGATGTATCCATTGGGACTGGGCTCCACAACTCCACATTTTGATTGGTTATGGCACTACACAGTGGACAGGAGCGGGACACGTGGCCTCAACCTTGTACAAGGAACTGCAGCAGCTAAGGAATACTGAGATCTGGAGAAATAGCTATCCCCAGGCAAGAGCACACCCACTGCTTACTGATGAGGGATGTCCTTCTGTATGCTGTGAGTATATGTTTCTCTTATTGGTTGATGAATGAAGCTGTTTTGGCCAATAGACAGGTGGGATATATCCAGACAGGAAGTATAGGCAGGGCAACCAGACTAGGAAAATGCTGGGAAGAGGAACACAGAGAGTGAGTCCTAAGAGAGATGCCGTGTAGCTGCCAAGGAAGCAAGAGGACCGGGAATCACTAGTAAGCCAAGACCATGTGGAGATG